CAGACCTCACCTGGAGTACTGTGTCCAGTTCTGGGCACCACAGTTCAAGAAGGACACTGACAAACTGGAACGTGTCCAGAGGAGGGCAACCAAAATGGTCAAAGGCCTGGAAACGATGCCTTATGAGGAACGGCTAAGAGAGCTGGGCATGTTTAGCCTGGAGAAGAGGAGGTTAAGGGGTGATATGATAGCCATGTTCAAATATATAAAAGGATGTCACATAGAGGAGGGAGAAAGGTTGTTTTCTGCTGCTCCAGAGAAGCGGACACGGAGCAATGGATCCAAACTACAAGAAAGAAGATTCCACCTAAACATTAGGAAGAACTTCCTGACAGTAAGAGCTGTTCGACAGTGGAATTTGCTGCCAAGGAGTGTGGTGGAGTCTCCTTCTTTGGAGGTCTTTAAGCAGAGGCTTGACAACCATATGTCAGGAGTGCTCTGATGGTGTTTCCTGCTTGGCAGGGGGTTGGACTTGATGGCCCTTGCGGTCTCTTCCAACTCTATGATTCTATGATTCTATGATTCTATGAAATAAATAACCGACTATCCTCCTACACCTTTCTAAACGCATTACGGTGCATTTCTTTGAGCTGAGAAGCACATCACAAAATTCAGAGCAGTGTGAAAGAATCATCATGTTCCAATCTGTACTACAGTCCCAAAAGTCAGTTAGCATCAGAACTCATAGAAACTGAATTCTCCAAGCATCCTTATTCTCCCACAGCTACAGCAGTCCTTCTACTGTAAGGAATAGGCCTTTACCAGTCTTGTCCCTACTTCTCACTGAAACGCAACCTGAAGTCTCAGCTACTGTCAGGCAGAATGTCGAACCTGGCAATGTTCTCTTAATCCTGCAGATTTTGACAAAGTAGTGAGATGGAATGGCATTTTCTATCAAACCGTACTCTGTTCAATAGGAAGACCAGTCTGAATCCTCCACTCCCAATTATGTTCCTAAAATGAGAGGAAATTTCAAATGAAAATAGAAGATGAAAGTAAAAAGTAAAAAATGTTGCCAAAAATATTTGAAATGCCTTTTTTAGTGCAGAGATATTGAGAGTTCATTCTGCCATTTCTTCATTTTTTTAAAAAGGGGAATATTAACTGTTTGATAAAAGGGTCATATTTCTGGCTATGACTGGAGGAGATGGACTGTGAACAGGTATAAATGAAAATGACAAAACAGAAGGCTTTTATGGAAGACTAAGTATCTGTCGGTAGTAAAGGAAATGAAGAGGGAAATTAGAGAAGCCTTAACCAATAACCTACAATTGCCCCATGACAGGTTGGCTTTCTGGACAAAGCAAAAAGGGTAGCATAACACACAAAACCATGTCAATTGAGAGAGGGGGGGAGGGAGGGGGGAGAGATTCACAATCTGATCATCTTAAAAGTTGATTTCTGGGGTAAGAGTTTTCCAGCATTTAATAAAGTCATAAAGTCTCGTTTAATTGGACCCACTTAAAATTGATTAAGACCAGGAGCAATTTTGCTTAGCAACAGTTTTGTAGCCCTGAGCGATGTATAAGGAACAGAATGAATACTTACGTTTTTATTACTGGAATCAAATCTATAAGTGTGTAATTCAAACAAATAGCAAATAAGTACCGTAGATTCCCATACACCAACTGAACAGGTTTTTGAGAAATTATGTTTCTTTTCTTCAAAACTGTAAGGTTGAAACAGTGAACCTGAACTATTTTCAGCATCCCAGGGCAATACAACAGTCAAGAAGCAACTTGAGAATTATTCATTACGTGTGTCACTGCATCATATTCAGCTACCTAGAGCAGCTTACAATAATGTAAATCAGAGTAAATGTAAAAGCTTTGGTGAGTGGCAACTACAGAGAGACCCTTTTCAAAGGCCCATCTGTGGAATGCACTCCACAGTAAGGTCTGCCTGGTGCCATCATTAACATATTTTTGATAACAGGGAAAACCAGGTAAAAATGGGTGTTTCTTTTCCTAGGCATTTGTGGTGATTTTTCTGGATGACGTGTTTTGATACCAAACTATTTTGCTGCTATTTTATTGAGTCAGATCTATGGATTTTTATGCGATTTTTTTATAGCAATGAATTGGTTCTTTGCAATGTGTTTTATCTTGATGCATTACTGTGATTTTATGATATGCTTATAAGATTATACAATATTCTGTGTAAACATTGTATAATCATATAATCTTGCGTTGAAATTTTCTTGTTTTTACATTGAAGTCAAGATTCTGACACAAATTAAATGAATTAAAATGAATTAATGAATTGAATTGAATTGAATTAATCCATTTTATTGGATATAAAAATGCCATATGTCAATAAATTTTAGGTGTATGTGTGCCTGCATGTTTATAAACAATTTTTTAAAAAATCAGGGGTGGGGTTTTGCATTATATTTTGTTTAACAAAACTAAAAAGCTTTTCAACCACTTCAAGCAGCAATGGACCTGTAAAAAGCAGCTGTTCCAAAGATGAATCCAATGGGAAATACCTGAGCATTTCTAAGATGTTTTAGTGATATCTTCGTATGATCAGCAGCTGTTCTAATAGCAGTGGTCTGTATTCCCTATAGGCTTGGCAAATCGTCTGAGCCAAAAGTACCCAAGGGGTTCACTGATGCATGTGCGCTGAAGTCTTATATCACCCACAGACATACATATGAATTATGAAGTGAATCCCCTGAAAAGTATTGTACATGAGGTAATGTACAGCCGTACGGAAGTTCAAGCTGTGAGACTGAGTCTGCATTGACTCAGATAACCTTCTGTTTGTATTACAGCGGTACCTTGTTTCTCGAACGGCTTGGCTCCTGAACAAATCGGCTCCCGAACGCCGCAAACCTGGAAGTAAGTTTTCTGGTTTGTGAAAGTTTTTTGGAAGCCGAACATCCAACACAGCTTCTGCCTGAGTGCAGGAAGTTCCTGCAGCCAATCGGAAGCTGTGCCTTGGTTTTTGAACCATTTCGGGAGCCGAACGGACTCCCGGAACAGGTTAAGTTCAAGAACCAAGGTACCACTGTATTTAACTTTTTGTCTTATTAAAACAGGGGTCACCAACACTGTGTCTGGGGGTGCACATGCACCTACAGCAGACTTCCCTGGCACACATATGCCCCCCCCAAGTTAGGCTTCAAAGTAGTGGTCCATTGTAGCCTATAGAACTGGGAGCAGTATGTGCTTGGCTGTTGGTGTGCGTTTGGTTCCCACAATACTTTCTCCTGTTGGTAACCCTGTACTAAATTTTCAGTGAAGGGTTTTGCTTTCTTTTAACAAGTACAGCTAAAAAAATAAAATTCTGTGAACCGCCCTGAGACCTGCAGGTAAAGGGCGGTATATAAATTAAATAAATAAATAGTAGTAGTTGTAGTAGTAGTAATAATAATAATAATAATAATAATAGCAGTAACTCTTTTTAAAAAGAAAACAAATTCAGGTACACAAAGAATGCAGAAAATTATCAGCAGTAAGTATAACCCAAGCAAAAACTCTAGGTTGCTTACCCACTCCCTCCCATATCGATTTCCTATCTGTCCCGCACTTCCCCTATTGTCAAAGAGCGTAAGAAAACAAGAGAAAGGGTGAAGAGGGGTAAAGAGAATGAGAGGTATTCAAGTTGCCTTCCTTAGATTCATCTGTGGAAAGTCTTCTTAAAATGTAGAGGGGGAGGTTTTAGCCAGCCACAGTTTCGAAATGTATCTGGGTATATGACTTGCCCCCAAACTGCCTGCTGGAAAACTGCCTGGCCTCCCAGGTGTCTCACCATGAATCACTTTCCAGTAGCATTTTGCTACTGACTTGGCATTGGGAACCAGTGTGGTTCATGGTGGGGGGAGGCGTTTCCTAGGGATACAGATATGACTATCGAGGCTTGTGACATATTCGAAAGCATGCTTCCTCCAGAAAGGACACAGATGATCTCTTGATGTTTCATTCATCCAGTGATGCATTCTGACATATGTGAGTTCATCCTACTAGCCTCCCAAACATAACAGGAAAAGTATGTTCACTCATACTAGAAACATAGTATACAAAACTAGCCACAGGAAAAAGTCTTATTAAGGGAAACTTGGGGTCCTGTTTGTTCCCCACCTCACCCCCCATGCACTGAATGGCAATATATCTTTCATTTTTACTCTTGATCTATATACAGGTCAGAACATTCCTGTCAGAAAGTGGAAGAGAGGTAATGGATCAGGGGAAGGCATGTGAGTAGCAAAATTGTACTTTATGTGTAATAATTGCCCTTTTGCAAGAGCAGAGGCTTGAAGACTTGTGCACTGAGCTTCCCAAAGAGCCGCTTGTAAGTGGTCTTTTGTCCCTTGAGTTTCAGGAAGATGGAGAGGGAGGAGGGGAAGATTAGATTTAGACTCAAAGGACCAATACATTAAATCCTATTTTCTCCTGTGTGTGGCTGAAAGAGACTGAAAGCAAAAGAAAAGTGAAGTGTAGTTTGAGCTCTAAAAAATTTATATAGCTATAGATGCTCTATTTTCTCCAAGGGGAAATAATTAAGAGCACTATAAAAGCCTATGACAGCTTTAGGACATTCTACACACAGTAGATATAATGGTACAAATACATTGTTAATTATACCTTAATATTACATTTCCAAAATCTTATACATCAACAGTGTAACTGTGTGTGTGTGTGTGTGTGTGTGTGTGTGTACACACACACCAAAGCAAGTCCTATTGAGTACAATGGGACTTACTCCCAGGTAAGTATGTGTTGGATTGCACCCTGATTTTTTTATGAAGAACAAAGAACAATTAAAAGGTGCAGCAAAATGTAGTGAAGTATTTAAAAAGACAGACAATGGGGCAATCTAAAGCTTTTTTTAGGCACAAGGAGCTCCCAGGATTGACAGTCAATGGGAGCTTCATACTTAATGTACGAACATAGGAAACTGCCTTATATTGAGACAGACCATTGGATCCAACTAATTCAGTGTTGTCTACTCTGACTTTTTCCAATGTTTCAGGTAAAAGTTTTCCCAGCCCTATCTGGAGACACCAAGGATTGAAATTGGGACCTTCTACATGCAAGGCAAATGATCTACCACTGCGCTATGTTCTTCCCCCATCCCTTCCAGTAAGAATGTGAGTGCAGAGCTTTCCCTGATTAGGGAATGCCAGTTCCTTTCCATTTTTTCAGAAGATAATAACTTTTGGAAATGTATTGAAATGGGAGGATCCTCAGTGCACATGCAAGGTTTTGCCTGTTTTTGTCAGGAAGTCATGAGAAAACGACACGCATCAGGCAGAGCACAGCCCTGTCGTCATGCATATGGCCAGCACTATTGCTTTTTAGTTAGCATTAGAATACAATATAATGTTTCCTAATTATGGTATTGATTTTTTAATGGATTCCCCTCCCAGAACACCCAAAGGCACAGATGAGTATCGCAAATGAATCATAAGGGAACTACTTGGAACTATGTATATCAGTACAACATACAGGTGTTGCCTTGTGGATTGGCTTTTAGTTAGCCTGTATCAAAAGTGCTTAGGTTGGAGAGCATTTTTTTAAATGTATATGTTTCTTGCAGAGATCAATAATTGTCGGCTAATACAGTAATCCTATATCATCATCCTCCTCTTCTTGTTATTGCATTCTTGTTTAAATTATTGTAGATTAATTTACTGCAGACATTAAAGCAGGAATGGCTAGCCGGTGATGCTACACATGTTGTTGAATGACAACAGTGGCAGGGAACCTCGGCCTACAGACCAAATTAGGCTGGCAAAGGGTCCTGATTTGATCCATAAAAACATTTCCGCTAAACTTTAACCACCAGTCCCATATGTGACATAGGGCAGCTAAGGATAGGGGGCAAAGGAACAAATGAGAGATTTAAGGTGTGCTTCACAGAATAGTCTATCCCGCAGTGCAGCCGATCCTAGCCCCAGGCGATCAGTGTTTACCACAAAGCCCTTGGGGAACTGCTTTCTTTGCCTGTGGGTTTAATTTCATACCATGTAGGCAAATGAAGAAGGGTTTGCAGCAGCCACTTGCACAGGTAAATGCTTCACCTGACATCATGGTGATATTAAGTGATTGTGTCAGGTAGTGGTGGTGGTTGCTCGTGAGTAACCAGGCAGGACTCAGACCTGTCTTTTACAGGTTTTATTTGGTGCAAACTATTTACAATGCAGAACCACAAAGTTCATGTCCGTCTTAGTCGCTTGCAGATTCCGGGAGTGGCCCCTTCTGGTTTCTCTCCCAACATAAGGACTTAGAAACCCCAAATCTCCACCTCCCCTCCTTACGTTTCATCCCTCTGCGCAAGCTGGATGACAGAAACAGCATGTCTGTTTCCTGGCTAGCTGGGCTAGGTGAGGCGCTTGGGCTCTCAGTAGCATTTTCGAGCCATCCTCTTGCTTGGCTACCCCCTTCCCCCTCTGCTCCACTGGAGGTGTGGCTTTCCCCACTGCTGGACGAGGAGCTGCTCCTCAGCAGCGTCAGAGGCTCTCTGTATTCACCTGTCTCCCCTCCCCTGTTCCGATGGCAGTCCCCTGACAGAGGGCATCCCCACCCACATATCAAAGTAGACCACAGGATTTGTGGGTGGTCTGGATCGGGATCTCACTTCTCCCCCTGAACTACAACTTCCGTCATCCCTGACCATTGGCTGTGATGGCTGAGAATAATAATAATAATAATAATAATAATAATAATAATTTATTATTTATTATTTGTACCCCGCCCTGGTTCCCTGTAGCTTTGCTTCTCGCAATGAGGGAACTGCCAGAAGGCCCTCGGCGCTGGACCTCAGTGTCCGGGCAGAACGATGGGGGTGGAGACGCTCCTTCAGGTATACTGGGCCGAGGCCGTTTAGGGCTTTAAAGGTCGACACCAGCACTTTGAATTGTGCTCGGAAACGTACTGGGAGCCAATGTAGGTCTTTCAAGACTGGTGTTATGTGGTCTCGGCGGCCGCCCCCAGTCACCAGTCTAGCTGCCACATTCTGGATTAGTTGTAGTTTCCGAGTTACTTTCAAAGGTAGCCCCACGTAGAGCGCATTGCAGTAGTCCAAGTGGGAGATAACTAGAGCATGCACCACTCTGGCGAGACAGTCCGTGGGCAGGTAGGTTCTCAGCCTGCTCACCAGGTGGAGTTGGTAGACAGCTGCCCTGGATACAGAATTGACCTGCTCCTCCATGGACAGCTGTGAGTCCAAAATGACTCCCAGGCTGCACACCTGGTCCTTCAGGGGCACAGTTACCCTATTCAGGACCAGGGAGTCCTCCACACCAGCCCGCCCCCTGTCCCCCAAAAACAGTACTTCTGTCTTGTCAGGATTCAACCTCAATCCATTAGCTGCCATCCATCCTCCAACCGCCTCCAGGCACTCACACAGGACCTTTACCGCCCTCACTGGTTCTGATTTGAAAGAGAGGTAGAGCTGGGTATCATCTGCATATTGATGGACACCCAGTCCAAACCCCCTGATTATCTCTCCCAGCGGCTTCATATAGATGTTAAAAAGCATGGGGGAGAGGACGGAACCCTGAGGCACCCCACAAGTGAGGGCCCAGGGGTCTGAACACTCATCCCCCACCACCACTTTCTGAACACGGCCCAGGAGGAAGGAGCGAAACCACTGTATAACAGTGCCCCCGGCTCCCAGCCCCTCTAGACGGTCCAGAAGGATGTTATGGTCGATTGTATCAAAGGCCACTGAGAGATCCAGCAGAACTAGGAAACAACTCTCACCTTTGTCCCTAGCTCGCCGGAGATCATCAACCAGCGCGACCAAGGCAGTTTCAGTCCCATGATGAGGCCTGAATCCCGATTGGAAGGGATCCAAATGGTCCGCATCCTCCAGGCATGCCTGGAGTTGTTCAGCAACCAGGCGCTCAATCACCTTGCCCAAGAATGGAAGATTTGAGACTGAGAATGATGGGAGTAGGAGTCCATCAACAACTAGAGATCCGCACGTTACCTACCCCTGCAATAAAGGGTAACAAAGTGTTCACCTGTAAAATGGGCCCAGCAATGTACTCTGTCATATGTATATGTTAGGGGGAATAGAAATAATATTGCTAATGTGTTTAACAGACAGCTATTGTGCACATTCCCCAGGCCTTGTGGAGAAGGTGCACATAATCCTTTCATGAAGAGGGAATTGGGCACATTTCCTGGTTAATATGCATAATCTCCAACAGACTGTGCATACATCAACTGAATTTTGCACATTCTTTAGTCATTATATGTAATCTCCAACAGGCCTTGAGGAATGTGTATATCTTAGTTGAATTCTGTACATTATGCAGCTATTGCGCATAATCCCCAACAGGACTTGGGAAATGTCCATATCTTGAATACATTGTACACATTCAATATACAAAATAGGAATTTAGTTGTAACATAAAAGTAAAATGGACAATGTGAATTTTCCCAAAATTCCTCCAAACAAGCCCAAACCAAATCAATGTTTAATTAATTCTAAGAACTAGTGGTGTTAAAAGGCTGTATAATAAATGGAGAATACTTTGCTGACTTAATATCACTGAGACATTGAGACATTTGTATTGTACTTGTAAATCCCCATGGGGAGAATAGACATAGAGAGCAAAATACTTTCCATTTGTAGAATGTTTCTTTGTGCTATTCAGAAACCAACAATCATTCATCAAGTCTTAGACCACAACATAAGCCACAGAATATCATCATGTAATAACTATTTTCTTAGAGATTTGGCAACACAGACATGGATGTTAAAGAGAGGTAGACTTAGAATGCTTCTTTCTCAAAAGAGATGGTAGAATGATCCCAGGATCTCCTTTGATGGTATAGTATATGGTTCTTTTACTTGGACATATATCTATTATTGTCGGCAAGGCACAAACTAAACATCAATAGTCTTCCATTTAAAATGTATTTTCCATTAGATAAGTGATGCCTTTTTAAGCTGGCCTTGTAAATATCAGACTGTATAATAAGCATATGTTGAGTTTGGCATCTGTATTTTTGTGTCATTTTAATTTCCTAAATATGCATTGCATATGGTCAATAGCCTTCATGTTTTAATAGCTATAGTACATGAAAGGAGCATTAAGTGAAACAGAAATCCATTTAAAAGCTCCATGAACACTCCTTTCTACACACAAAGGGTACACAAGCACTGGGCAAATGGATATCTTTAACCTGTTGAACTTGTTGATCAATGATGGAAGTGCTATAGCCAACTGAGAATTATTCTGTTGCACTATTGACCCTAGACAGATTGGGCATTGGTAAATGCAGGACAGTCTTTTGTTTTCTATGTGCTCTGGTAAGAACAATACTGTTATCTCTAACCAAAGCCTGGGGATTGTGCTTAGAAAGGAATTAACATGGTCAGTCCTAGATATCTTTAACCATTTCACGGTCAGCTCTTCCCTTGTACTAATGACCTGTACGTTGTTCAGAAAACAAGTCCTAGCGAATAAAAATGGGTAAAATCCTAGTGAACAGTTGGTGCCATTCTGAGATGCTCTCAAAATCACCATCTGGAATCTAGAATCTTTCTGGATTCCAGAAGGTAGACTTGAGCACAAGATTTCAAGTCAGATTTGCATCTGTTTCAATATGATCAATATGGGGTTCAATGTGAAACATTGAATTGCTAACAAAGTGCTAACATTCAGTTTTCTCTGAACAGTACACGGTCTCCATCAACTGTCTGTGTATCTGTCATTTGCTGTACAGTACGGAACATGCCTACAGTACACACAATGGATTCAAATGGTGATGTGACTATGACAGGAGTGACATATCAACATGTGTCAAATCTTCTCAGGTTTTCTCGCCAAGTGGCAGCTAATGGAGCATAGGAAAAGAATGAACCAACAGGGCCACGGAACAAAGGGAATGCACAATTTGCAAGCAGTACAACTCAGAACCAAATAAAAATATTTGGCCTATAAATAGCTCCACCATGAACTATGTAGTTTTTTAGGGCTGGTTCCCATGTTACATTCACTCCCATGTCTATGAACATTACCCTTGAAGGAATACATTACTGGCTGAAAAACAACAAGAAAGAAAAAGTCAATGGGTTATATCCAGCACTGACTGAGCAAAAGGGTGGACCTG